ATTTGTTCTTTAACGCGGGTTTTAATTGATCTTTTAGTTTGTCCTATGTAGGAGAGACCTTATTCACAACCAAGCTTGTACATTCCTGCATCTTGCAGAGGGATGTTACACTTGACTGATGGTAAAAACTCTCTTTTTCACTTCTGCAACATATCTCTTTCCTCATTCATTATTTTTATATTAGTAGTATTATATATATATATATATATATATATATATATATATATATATATATATATATATATATATATATATATATTGTTACGCGCTAAAATCGGCGCACTAGCGCCATCTAGTCCCGAACCGAAGAACTAAACTTCTTGAAGGTTAAAACTCGAACTCTCGGTACCTTGCGCGTGTTTACTTGAACATTCTGGATATTTTGCTAATTTATATAAGTAGACACTGCAAGCGATCGGGCAGAGTTGAACTCGGCGACACAAGCGAAGCTTCGGAGCGGAATTAAGTGAATTAGTGTGTTTAATTATTAGTGTTTTTAGTTTTAATTTGTGTAAAGTAAATTAAAGTGTTAATTTAGGTAATTTTATCGGCAATTTTTATTGTCACGAACCTCAAGCTCGTAACAATTGGTGTCAGAAGTGGGATAAAATCATGCCGATTTTACCTAAGGAGGAAACGGAGGGTGTCCGTACCCGCAGTCAACGCCAGCATGAGACGGACCAGCGGAGATTTGGTGGTGCAACGGCGCAGACGTCGGAGGGCCAACCGCCAGCCACGGAGGCTGCGGGCCCGTCATTAGCTCCTACATCTGCAGCACCTGACTTAGGTGCTCTGATGGCGATGCTACAGGAGCAGCTGCAGCGCGGACGAGAGGAACAGGCCCGTCTGTTGAAAGAGCAGCAGGAGGAACAGGCTCGCCGACAGGAGGAATAGGTCCGTCGTTTGGAAGAGCAGCTGCGAGGTGGACAGGAGGAACAGGCCCGCCGGCAGGAGGAACAGGCCCGTCGTTTAGAAGAGCAACTCCAACGCGATAAGGAAGAGCAGATGCTCCTCATGAAGGACCTTCACGCTACCTTCGGAAAAGAGATACGGGAGGTGAAGGATAAGGTTGCTCAACATGACAACCGCCTGTCGGAAGCTGAAACCCGAATCGACCAAGTAAACAATCGGGTTGACAACGTAATGGCTGACATGAGGAAATCACTTGACGAACTCAAACTTGGGGAGGGAACTACAGCTCCCGTAGTAGCTACTACACCTTCGCTACGTGGGTTCAAGGTGCCACCATTCGACGGGACTTCTTCCTGGTCAGCCTACAAAATCCAGTTCGAGGCTGTTATGAAGGCGAACGGCTGGAATAAAAGTCAGGCCATGACTGCTCTCACACTAGGCCTGCGCGACCAGGCCTTAACAGATCTGGAAGCTCTCGGTGAGGAAGTGACTTATGAGCAACTCCTTGAGGCATTGGAGGCGAGATATGGCGACGCTCACCTGGAACACGTCTTTCGTGCAAAGCTTAAAGATCGTGTGCAGCGCATCAACGAAAACCTGCAGCAGTGGGCTCTAGAAGTGGAGAAGCTGGTGCGAAAAGCATACCGGTCTGTACCTGCGCTCATTGAAGGGAACCTGGTGCAGACATTCATTGACGGCATCCGCGACCTGGAAGTCAGAGCTGCTGTGAGGCTCGGGCACCACGAGACGCTTAAGGACGCCTTGGCCCATGCACTGGAAGTAGAAGCCGTGCGGCAGGATCATCGGACTCCTAAGATCGTCCATGTGGATCGCCTAGTGCGTTATTATGGGACCGATAATGCTCGCGACGAGCATGTCTTAGGAGGGGGCAGTGTTACGCGCTAAAATCGGCGCACTAGCGCCATCTAGTCCCGCACCGAAGAACTAAACTTCTTGAAGGTTAAAACTCGAACTCTCGGTACCTTGCGCGTGTTTACTTGAACATTCTGGATATTTTGCTAATTTATATAAGTAGGCACTGCAAGCGATCGGGCAGAGTTGAACTCGGCGACAAAAGCGAAGCTTCGGAGCGGAATTAAGTGAATTAGTGTGTTTAATTATTAGTGTTTTTAGTTTTAATTTGTGTAAAGTAAATTAAAGTGTTAATTTAGGTAATTTTATCGGCAATTTTTATTGTCACGAACCTCAAGCTCGTAACTTACTAATATATATATATATATATATATATATATATATATCGGACTTAATGGAGTGATCTGAAGGTACAATTCGGTGATTACAACTGGAACTCCTAAACTTGTAGTACTAGGTGTACCGAGTTTGGGTTCATTTTATTAGTAATGATGAGACCTGAAGGTGTAATTCTTTGATTACAAGTGGAACTCCTAGACTAGTAGTACTTGGTTTGCCGAGTTTGGGTCAATCAAGTCGGGAGGTAACTAACAGAATCATAACTAACAGAACGAGCCCAAACTCGTCACATCTAGTACTACTAGTCCAGGAGTTCCACTTGTAATCAAAGAATTACACCTTCAGGTCACTCCATTAAGTCCGGAGGGAAGGTCTCATCATAACTATCAAAACAAATCCAAACCCGGTACACCTAGTTCTACTAGTCTAGGAGTTCCAGTAGTATTCACCCAATTAAACCTTCATATCACTCCATCAAGTCGGGATGTAAGGTCTCATCATAACTAATAAAACGGAGCCCAAATTCGGCACACCTAGTTCTACTAGTCCAGGAATTTCAGCAGTAGTTACCGAAATACACTTTCAGGTCATTCCATTAAGTCCGGAGGTTAGGTCTCATCATAACTAACAAAACGAGCCCAAACTCCGCACACCTAGTTCTGCTCGTCCAGGAGTTGCAGTAGTAGTTATCTTCAGGTCACTCTATCAAGGCCGGAGGTAAGTTTATATGTATATAAATCCTACTTATTTTTACCTAAATAAAAAACTTTGAGTATAAAAATAATAATTTTATCACTTGTTCATGTTTCCAATTTATTTATTTTTCTAATATTTTGTGTATGTACAGCGATCTCTTCAGAATGAGCCGCTGCAAATAGGCGGTACAGTGTCCACTCACGACGATGGCCGAGCGCGGACTCACAGAGTACCTTTGCGCGGACTGTGGTTTCATCGAAATCTTTGTACAATAAATCAAAACAGGCACCAAAAATTAAATAGCCCTCATTATTGCAATGAGTTTATGATTGATCCGTATTAGCAAAATATGTGAAAAAAATATGCATCAGTTTTGAATAAAACTATTATTTACGGATTTTATCGCGTTTAATTACTTTAATTTATTTTTATTATTATCCCGACGTTTCGGGTGCTTTACAGCGCCCATGGTCACGGGGGGGGACTGAGATGTTTGACGTCCCAATGTCATAGTTAGTCCGGCTACCTTCAGTTTTTTAATATTAATTTTTATTAAAAGTGCAGCACCCGAAACGTCGGGATAATAATAAAAATAAATTAAAGCAATTAAACGCGATAAAATCCGTAAATAATAGTTTTATTCAATGTGTAGTGTTCGCGTAAATTTAAGAAATCATTATGCATCAGTTTTAATTTTTTCTGCGACTATTTGTGACATTTTGATAAAAAATAAACACATGATTTTTTATTTATTTATTTATTTATTTCTTTTAGGAAGGCTAAAAGACTAATATCTTCGTAAAGTTACAAAATGGTAATAAAAATTGCTAATTACAAGCCTCCACATATTACTTTCATCCAACTTTATACAAATTTAAAAATACGTTAGGGAATACTTAAACTATTACAAAAACAATAACAAAAAAATGCAAAAACGTTAACAAAAAAATGAGTCAATGAGCAACTTGAGTCATGCTAGTCGCGGCTGCGAATGAAAAATTCTTGTTCATCACTTTTTTTACAGATTTAGAAGATTTTAATTGAATATGTCTGTCTACTTATAGTATTTTTAAAATTTTAGTTACAACAATATGCCGTTAGTATGTACAATGAAATTAAATTTGCGACATATAATTTTATGTTCATATAATTACAAGTTAATATTAAATTACGACTGAAAACTTTATTACCTAATTAGTGCTTGTCCGGTAATAGTTTATTTTATTCTAACAAAATCGCTTTGGCCTCGTGTTCCCGCGTGACCTCGAGCCACGCATAGTGTGCGAACGAGTTCGCATAGTGTGCGAACGAGTGGCGCGGGAAAGTGGAGGTGAAATCGGAATTTGAGCTGAGGTAGTATAGGCCCTTAATGTATGAGCCATACAATACGAATAATAATCATGGGGGGCTGGTGATGACTATGTGCAGTGGACATGCATATAGAATAGTTATATTAGTATATATAATAGTTACACTATCGTATTAGGATAACCTGTGAAGATATCCGTAAGTGTTAAAAAATAAATTATGTTCAGATTGATGCATACAAATGTCACCACATCCACAGAAATTATTGTTGGTAGCTTTTATAACGATGACCTAGAAAATACAGTTAAAAATGTTGTTTGGGACATATTAAATTAGACTATATTGTCATTGTAATATTACAATAGTCTTAAATTTTATGTTTTTAATACAGGAGGAGTGACTGGCACTGGGCGAGTTGTTGCACAGCGCATACCACGATGGGTCATAAATACTGTTTTAACTTAATTATCAATAGTAATAATGTGTGAATTGAAACAAAATATTAAACATCTCAATTTATGATTTTTATTTAAAAATAACATTAATGCATCTCCTATTTTATTGCCCAAAAAAAGAGACGCCTCAGTTTGCACATTGGCTGCCTCTGTCTGCATTTTGGCCGGCGCTGCTTGCAATTGAGTAGCAGCTGCCAGCATCTGTAATGAAAAATATAGATAGATTGAGAAATGCTTGCTAATTCGCTCTAGCATGCTGGTTAGCAAAGATTTTTGTTTGTTACCTAAACTAAAAATTTTGCACATAGACCATACTACTGGATTATCACAGAATACTTTTTATCTGGGAAATAGTGGATGAAACAGAAGAGCGTAGAAATACATAATATATATAGGAATTATATGAAAAAAAAAAACTCAAACTTGCTTATGCACCATGGTGGTGGAGACTGTATTCTTATCTCTTGCACCTGTTGCTCCGTGGGTGGTGGTGAAACAACAGCTGTTGCTCTGCTGCCACTTGCTACTGAAATAATCAAATACATAAAATATATTAGTGAAATATAATCATGTAAAAAAGTATGGATGTAGGTGTAATAAAAATAACACAAACTTATTAATTTGTGGCGCTGGTGAAGCTTGCTCTCTCTCTCTCTCTCTCTCTCTCTCTCTCACTATCTCTCTTTCTTTCTATCTCAAACGATTTATATTCATTACTTGTAATTAAAATTTGTGTATTTGATTGATTATAGGTATGTACTTTTAAAATACAACAGAATTTACATATCGTATTTTAAATTTATATAAAAACTTACATTGAAATACAAAATGACTTCTATTGTTTCTACCCCAGCTTCCATCTCATGTAATATCTGTAATTATTAGTCAAAGTATTTATTATTGTAAATTACATTAAAACTAAGAAATAATATAATGAAGTTTGATTAGGTTTATCAACTTGTATACAAATAATTATCATGAGTGTTACTACACACTACTGAACTCACTTCTTCATCCGCCACAGTCAGGGCAGTTTCTGCCAATTGTGTACTCTACACCTATGAACAACACAATTCTGTCTCAATTAGAGGATTAATGGTGCTGCCTCACTGGCATCCTTCGTTTTCGGCTTTATTGCCGGCCCTTTTTTTAAAGTCTCCCCATACCTACATAATAAATATTTATTTATTCAAGTAACTAAATATAAGTATAAAAGCCATTAGTAGTAGGTAAATCTGAAATTCTTTGATAGAAACTTAACTGTTATCCACTGCTCTGGCGTCTTGACTTGGGAAACTGGTTGTGCTCATAGGCTACTTTCTCTACTTTCAGCCCGTTTTAAAATTTTCCTTGCCTTGAAGGCCGGTAAACGTTCTAGTTAACAAAAATGGTTACACGTGGTGTAAGTACGTTTACGTCTGAAACGTACATAGAAGTAAACATTCAAAACGTAAAAATTACTTAGTCTCTAAATAAAGCATACAATAAGCAACTATAAATTCAAAAATAGGTGTTGTAGGTTGCACTTACTTAGCTCGAAACCGCGCTTACGCCTGCGTCACTGTCCTCTTGGATTAAAAATGTCATAAACACGATACAAAAAAGAACAGGATATGTATTATGAACTTTTCTTTAGCAAATTAATAATCTTTTGCAAGCAAGAAGTTATGTAAACAAAGTTGACATTGAAACATTGACAATTTCGATATTAACATCAGTGTGTATAGTGTTGCAAGTAAGCAACTTTTATGTACTTTGATATTTAACAAGATAGTTCAGTTTTTAGAAACGGTAAAATATGCTTGTAAGTTAATATGAAAAATGTTTTTATAATGTATGGTTTCTACAGCTTCTGTACAGTTTTCAAAGAAAAACAATTATTTAAAATAATTATGTCTGCTAATTTTCCCTGTGATTCATGGAGATTTTTAACTGCCAATGTTTTTTAAGAAAACACCGCACTATGAATACGTTTTTCGTTAGCGTAACGACATCCTACGCATAAAGTAAAGATAATTTACTATATCATTATATAATTTTGCTCGCTATCTCGAGTGAAGGGACTTGCATTTATCGTAAGCACCGTTACAGCAAGCGATTTTTTTTTTTTCGTTATTATTTAGCGATCGGTAGTCTGTGATTGAGTTACTATATATTTATGTCGAGATTGCAGCTCCAGGATCTGAACTGGAAAACACATATCGATGAAGTTTGTCATAAAATAAACACATATTCATATGCGCTCGGTTGAATGAAAAAAGTGACTGACATAAAAACGTCTGTTATGACTTACCGAGCTTATGCCGAGTCTAAACTTCGTTATGGACTGGTGATGTGGAAAAATGTTTCGGAGTGGTATCGGGAATTCCTTACGCAGGAAAGTGTGTTAGGGCAATCTGCGGAATACGACCTGACGAATTGTGTCAGCCTTTAAATAGATTAAGTCTTGGTATACTGCCACTACCAGCACTATATATATTTTTTTATTTTTTTTTTCAGAGACAAACAATTAATTGAGAAAGCTTCTGAGGTACAGTCTACTCGCTCACGTAGGAACCCACACAAGCTAGTACCTAAAGGTATATCTAAATCACAAAAATATGGTATGAGTTGCCTTACCACGTGTGTCCGAATATATAACAAACTCCCTGATAAACTTAAAATCCTAAACATTACATTGTTCAAAAGTAAATTGTACAAATAGCTCACTGAAAATAATTTCTATAGTGTAAAACAATTGTTGGATAGTAAAAATTAGATTATGTATCGGATAATATTTATTATATAAACTTTCATTTAATTATCATTGTTATAGTATATTTACAATAGATCTTTAATTAAGTTAAAATTGACGATGCTCAGAATTAACATTTAATTAATTGTTATGACTTCTCTATATTTTATTTTAACTAAATCATGTGACTAATTGTATGTTAAATAGCTAAGGAAATATTTGATATTGTTTAAAATATAGCTAAAAAATTGAGAGGTGTCAAGAGACACCCGGATGGAACGAAATTCCTATATATATAATCTCTCGGGGGGATAAGTCGCTCGCGTCCGTAGGCTTTAACAACCTATTCCTAGGCCCACCCTACACGTGTCCCCCGGTTATTTGTTGATAAGGTATCAGCAGTTGCGGCAATTTCGAAAAGGCGAAAGTTTAATAAGATTTGAAATAAATTACACTGTAGCGGCGGTCCGACGTGTAAAATATCATTTAACGATACTCCAGAGTCGGTGTGAGTGCTTGCGTCAAGGATAATAGGATAATGCGCAGTTTGGAAGTATGCTTATCCTCGCGGATCACCCCATGGTGCGGTATAATGTAACCCTTGCTATAATTTTGCGGCATTTTTAGTGACAAATGTGTTACATGCAAGCCGTGGTGGCGTCTAATAGACGTAATGTTTGAAAGGGAATTTCTAAAAAAGTGTCTTGTCCCAGCATTTTCTTGATTCGGCAAATATATCATTAATTATGTTTGTAAATAAAACATATAAAAATATTGTAAAAATTATATATGTAAATATTATATAATATGTAAATATTATATTATAAAAATACAGCTTTTATTTATAACTTATTTATGTAACTTACATTGAGTGAGATGAATATTTTAATTTTTTATATACACTATAATAACATCACAATAAATCCCTGGTATAAACTATTAACTCTACTTAACTTTGTTTTGCTAATACTTAAAACTCCAATAAACATGAGACATTCATAATTAGCAGCCTTTAATATACTTTTATAAAAATCACAAGGGTCAAATTAACCAGTTTTGTAACAATTTCTTAATAGGTACTATAAACATTAGCTCTTTGTTCTAGACTTTTCTTATTATAGTTAGTCTATTATAACTACTTTTCTAGTTTGTTAGAAAAAACCCCTAAATTTATTTTTTAACAAAACAAACAATCTTAGAGAAAACAAATATGTAATATTAGGTATTTTTTACTTGCAGTCATTGCAAATCTGACTGCAGCAACTATGGTACATTGGTTTAGCACAGACACAACAAAAATACTTTGTTCGCCTTCTCATCTTACTTGGGCATGTAGCGCATGTTCTTCGACCTTTAACGGCTTGTGATGTTGAAATTGAGGGAGTCGGGGGAATATCATCTTTTCCAATTACTCTTTTAATAGTGCATCTTAGTTTCTCGCTGAAAACTCTCAACTAGATTTGAGGCAGTAATAATTCACGAGCTAAACTGCGCAGAAAATCTCCCCCGGTTAAATTTGTTTGCGTTCTCGCAATCATTATGTAATATATAAGCATTGACACTACTCATGTCAAGTAACCGGTAAAAGATAGCCATCGGCCAACGTCTAGTTCTACGAGAGCATGAGTAGTTTGCACATTTTTTGTCTACCTCGTCCACGCCTCTTTTGTTTGATTTTAATCAATGGTTATCATTGGTTTTTTTGTTGCTGGGTCTGTCTCTCGTTTATGCTGCATAGACTAAATAACTATTACAGCTTTATTCGGTTTTGGAATGAAAGAAATAATTGTACAGTCTTTCATAAACACGTACAGTACTTCTCCAACGTTCCTGTCCCTCTGAGCTTGAAACTCCGATGGTATTTCTCTTTTGTTCTTCAAGAGAGAGGTTTAACATATCTAGGTGCAATGACACCTAGATATGTTAAACCTCTCTCTTTTAGGCATTCCGTAGCTTGAATTGAAGAAAAATAATTATCCGCAGTAACATATCGGTAACTTCCTTCAATTACTTTGCACAATTGTAACAAAAATTGAGTAAACTCATGTCAGAGATGACCTCAGTTTCTATCTTCGACTGCTCCGAATCCGTCTCTTTGCCTTCTTCCAATATATAGTGTGGGTCAGCCTCACTGTCATCATACTGGCTATAATCTGAATCCGTTTCTTCCCCTTCGATCAGGTCACGAACAGCATCTTCTAAAATTTCAACAGGAATAGGTTGCGTGTTCTGATCACGCTGATATTTCCGTTTTCTTGAAGTTGATGCCTGAGATTCCGACATCCAAAAATAACAAAATCATTATATCATATATACTGTCGTGACGACTACGAGACGTTTAGTAAAAAAATACATAAACGCTGTCGAAGGCGTCTTTCAGACATAAAGAGAAAATAACATAAGTACCGACCTTGCGTCTGTGAGACGTCAACTGTAGAGTGGCGGGAAAAGTATGCACGTTACGGGCTCTTGCGCTACACTGCGGGTTAGTGCAAGAGGCTGAAAGAAGGTACTGCGGGGGGTAAAGGTGGAGTGCATGTGGGAAGGTCAAAATAATACCGGGATAAGACATGACAACCTCTGTCAGACGTCACTACGGCAGTTAACAAAGGTTAAGATAACCCTTAGATAGGTACTCACGGATGATTTCATCATATTGCGATTTAAATGCTGGATTTTTATGAAATTTGCGTTCTAAATGAAAGAAACGTTTACGAGCCGTTTGTAACGAATCTCCTAAGAGAATAGTTTCATCTTTGAAAGGTAAACCTACAACAAAGCGCTCAGTCTTCTCACGTTGAGTAGTGACAGAATAAAACTCCTCGCAGTATCTGTCTTGTTCGGAGAGAAACGGGGCATCGCTGAGGTCCTCTATTTAAAAAAAACTTGCTTAACTGGTCATGAATTGAATTCGGGGAGGAAACGCTGGACAGATAAGAGTGAGGTATGTCAATGGAGTCGTTGACTTCAACCTGCGCGTCTCCCATGACTACGTAGCCTAATGTCGTAAAAAACGCAGAGGGTTGTTGCGGGGGTCCAGTTACTTTACCGGGCAGCAACAGCTCAATAAATAATTTTGCCCCGAGAAGTATCTCGACTTCTGACGGCTTAGAGAATTCTTCATCAGCCAGGGATAGGCATTATTAATGGGAGCGGTAGGTAAATTACCCGTAATTTGATTTAAAACCAAACCTTCAATAGCGTATGCTTTGGAGGGATTTATTCGGCTAAATAAGTTTGTGTTCACCTTTCCCTTTGCAAGACTCGAATGGTCGCCTAATCCTTTTATGATCGTTGCGATTTAATTGTTTAATATTCAGCTCTAATTTGCGGCAACATGCGGTCGTGATAAAATTATTTTGCGAACGTGATAAAATTATTTTGCGAACGTGATAAAATGTTATTATGGCGGTCGAGCACATTAACTTGCGCAGTACCTAATATTGTGTTAATATTTTGTGGCTTTGAAATACGACATAGTTTGTTGTCTGCGCTGTCAGCCGACAGAAAGGCTATAACTCCAGATGAATCCTTAAGCTCTGGCTGTCGCGCTGGAGCGGGAGAGCGCGGGCGCGTTGCAACCGTGTCGAGATTTGTAACATTTTGAGAATCCTTGTATCTCTTATTGATATAATTTAATTTTTGCAAATGAATTAACGAATGATGGCGTGACCCACATATACGACAAACATTAGTGCTTTTGCATGCGTTCCAAATATGCTTAGAACTGAGACAATTTGTGTATAAACGGTTTTCGTTTACAAATTTATGACGTTGCTCGGGTGACAAATTCATGAATTCGCGACAATTATAAATATGGTCGTGCGATTTATTACAAAGTCTACATGTCGATGTAACGTCATTAAAATTCGCTGTAATATAAGAATGCGAGATCTTAGGAATGGCAGGCAACTTGGGTTTATCACTTTCTTTCGCTGACACTTTGTATGCGGGTGCGTTTTACGCGCTGCATTATTTTGACTTGACTTTTTACAAAATTAATAAAGCTGTCATAAGTATGTATGTCCACGTCTCGGACAGACATTTCAAATGCCTTCGAAGTATCGCGATCTAAGCGCTTGAGCGCAAAATGAATAAACACGTAATCACAAAGATTTGGTATATTTAATTCATTAAGAGCGGCGATTGATGCGGCGTATTTATCAATAAATGCTTCCAATTGAGTTGAAGTTGCGCGATTAGGTAAAGCTTTCATCTCTAATATTGAGTCGAGAAAAGTGCTCGCGAGGTAATGCTTGTCCTGATATTTTTTTATTAAAGCATCCCATATAGTATCGTAATTATCAGCGGTGGGGTTAATGCCCGAAAAAACATGTTGCGCTTTGCCTTTAAGTTTGCTAACTAGATAATAGATTTTTTCCGAGTTCGTTAAGTCAGTATTAGAATTAATCGTCGAATGAAATGTTTCATAAAACAGGCTCCATTCGGAAGAGTCTGCGTGGAACTCCGGAATTTCTATGGGAGGCAACTTAGGTAACGCGATTTTAGGGTTGGGAGCATTCATCGTTTGCGGTTTGCATAATTTGTTCTTAATACGTCTAACATGATAGTACAAGTCTTCAAAGCTACACCAGGAGTTGAACTAAGTAGTAAATTTGGGATCTAGTTCTATATTTATAGAATTAATGTCATGGATGCACTTGTGATATTCACTCCTGATATCATCGATGGTTTCGCACTGTGATATAAACATATCCTGAATAGCGGCATCGTTTATTGTTTTTGAAAGATCGAAAATACGTTGCATGCGAGTAAAATAACCATCACGGCATGTTTCCTTAAAGTAATTCTTTAGTCAGAGTTTTGCGAATGGCTGCCATATTTTCGAACTAATGAAAACGGAGTGCAAATTAATGATGTAAAATTACAAAACATACAAAGTATTTATATCAATATCCGCACAAATAACGGTTTAAATAATAATAAATGCAATATTTAACAAGTCACACACACTATAAAATGATCAACGTCATCCAGAATACATGAATAATAATTGCGGTAAATAAAAATGGCGGGCGGTAAGCGAAGAAATTAACCGACGCTATGTGAGAAATTTCAAAATTCGGTAAGAAATCGAAACCTCACAGGAGGCACCAGAAGAATAATCACGCCGGGCACTAGATATCACCTCGTGGCCGTTAATTACGTGATTGCGCACGAGAATTTATTATGTATATATGAGAGGAATTAAATTTATTTACCGAGAAGCTCGTACTCACAATCACTAATCGGCGTTATTTATAATTGTTATGGTGTGTAATGTTGTATGTGTTACTGTATGTCTATGATAATGTATAGCCGAAAAACACTAGCGATTATAGTATTTAAAACTAATTAAATTGATAATGTGGACAAGCACAACAAGGTGCAACAGCGGGCACGGATTAGCGAAGACTGTCTTGCACTAATGACCCTTTTTTGAAGTTGAATTGGAGTGACAATTTTTACACACACTACCGCTATCTATGATAAATATGAATAGATTAATTCGAGCGCATGTTCGGCGCGACTAAGCACAAGTGAACATTACTTTAATTAGTGTTTAGCCTGTATTTGCGAGAAAAAGTCCACAAACAGAAATCACTGACAATTGTTTTTGCACTATAGATAGTTTTGATTTTCAATTGTTTGTTGATAGTTATGTCACTGAACTCCAATATATAATATTTATGTCAAGGTTTTGTATCACTTAACACATTAACACATTAAGAAAATCACTGTTTTATATTTTTAACTTGGTTTCTTTTACGGAGTCGATGTATACCATGACACAGTAGCGCCCTCTCTCCTGCCTGCTATGGAACTTAATTTATATTAGTTTAAATCCTTCTGTCGTCTCTCACTACACACATGCGATGATTTGCGGTAGTGGATGTTCTTACTTCATCACTACAAGGTAATTATATCTATTTAGTACAAAATATTAAGCGAATTGTCATAAAAAATATTCTTATATATTAAAAACGACTAAATTTATCTATGAAAATCTCTGCGACAGACTAGAAGTCATAAATAAAGGACCAAGATGATACCATATACTCGTAAGAACTATTTAGCACAATTAATAGAATCAGGTGTTACTTTGCGGAAATACGTTGTAGTAAAGATGTTAAAAAATAATTTGCTTACATTCGGGCAGTGAAATAAAATGATGTGTCCTACTTAGCGCGCACTATCTCTGTCACTACTAATACTCTACTCCTAATACCGCTATAGTAACACGATGACACAAGACATGTTTTGCCTCTACTCAAGGCATCCACAGGTGAAGTAGACTGCGTTGGATGACCGCTAGTGTAGTATTATCTACGGTCGTGTGTCTTTCTTAGTGTAGTGGTGTTAGGAGAGTGGTGCCAGGATTAGTAGTGACGGGAATGGTGTACGCGATTGAGGAATGGTGAGAGGTGCACTTCATTCTAGGTAAGACAAATTATTTTATTTTATTACGCGGACATATGCAAATTAATTTTAAAGATATCTGTCGTAAAGCATTAAAACCGTTTGTGACCTTACATCATATGATAATTATCTGTATTATCTTACAAAATAAACACATATAAATACTAAGCACGCATAAATGACACCACGTGCAACACATAAAACTAACTGCGACACTCTCTCGAGCACAGCCTTTATAAATCATCCGATACGCGGCTCGTTACCCTACGCGCGCGATATCACATAATGTTCACGGCGAAATGTCATTAAGGTCCTAATTATAAATAAGAAAAATTTCGAGTTTTTTTGAACTATAATGATAACCTTACCCATTCCATCTGATGATACATGACTGATGCAGTTCACGGACACCTCAAACAACGGAGGCTATACATTTGTTGTAACTTCTGAGGAGTAAAATGGATTGCCTCATAGCCTGTTATTAAACTGGCTTTCTATATCATTTAGGGATCTATCAAACCAGAATATAGGCATTCGTGATTCGCGAGCAACTGAACGCTCGAACACAAAACGCGAACGCGGAACCCTCGAACGCATGACCGCTTTCTGTCTGATAGAAACCTTACTATGTTCTCTTTTAAAAAACGTTACCTTGAAAATAAGATTTTCGTCGGTATTGTGGGGGTTTACATTCATGAATTTAAAAAGGACAAACATGCAGTGTCGAATCAATTATTTGTGGTCCATACTTGTTCCGCACGGGATTCGAACCCACTTCCCTTAGCGCTGCAACTCATTTCTTAGCCGCTGCTATTTAGTGGCAGGTTTAGATATGAGGCTTGTACCTATACAGACAAATAGGC